TGAGTATTAAAATAATTATTATATGGCGTTATATATTTCGCTATATTCCCTACAATTAATTTCCAATTCGGACCCTCTATCTGCCTCACACGCCGAGCAATAGCCAAAAGAGTGAGAATTTTTTTTGGTACTTTTAACACTGCAAAATTTCAAATGCGAATATCTCGAAAACTAATAGACCAAGTGTCATAAAATTTTCACAGAATTTTACTGACAATATTGTGCATAAACACTATAAGTTTTATCGAAATCCGAGATGATAAGATTTTTTCATCAAAAATTTTTTAGTGCATTTGATCAGCTTCATTTTTGAGTTTCCGGCGGTTTTAACCAGGAAAGCATATGAGTATTAAAATAATTATTATATGGCGTTATATTTCGCTATATTCCCTACAATTAATTTCCAATTCGGACCCCTCTATCTGCCTCACACGCCGAGCAATAGCCAAAAGAGTGAGAATTTTTTTGGTACGTTTAACACTGCAAAATTTCAAATGCGAATATCTCGAAAACTATAGACAAGTGTCATAAAATTTTCACAGAATTTTACTGACAATATTGTGCATAAACACTATGAGTTTTATCGAAATCCGAGATGATAAGACTTTTTCATCAAAATTTTTAGTGTATTTGATCAGCTTCATTTTTGAGTTTCCGGCGGTTTTAACCAGAAAAGCATATGAGTATTAAAATAATTATTATATGGCGTTATATTTTCGCTATATTCCCTACAATTATTTCCAATTCGGACCCTCTATCTGCCTCACACGCCGAGCAATCGTCAAAAGAGTGAGAATTTTTTTTGTACTTTTTAACACTGCCAAATTTCAAATGCGAATATCTCGAAAACTAATAGACCAAGTGTCATAAAATTTTCACAGAATTTTACTAACAATATTGTGCATAAACACTATGAGTTTTATCGAAATCCGAGATGATAAGATTTTTCATCAAAAATTTTTTAGTGCATTTGATCAGCTTCATTTTGAGTTTCCGGCGGTTTTAACCAGGAAGAAAGCATATGAGTATTAAAATAATTATTATATGGCGTTATATTTCGCTATATTCCCTACAATTAATTTCCAATTCGGACCCTCTATCTGCCTCACCACGCGAGCCGAGCAATCGCAAAAGAGTGAGAATTTTTTTTGGTACTTTTAACACTGCAAAATTTCAAATGCGAATATCTCGAAAACTAATAGACCAAGTGTCATAAAATTTTCACAGAATTTTACTAACAATATTGTGCATAAACAATATGAGTTTTATCGAAAACCGAGATGATAAGACTTTTTCATCAAAAATTTTTAGTGTATTTGATCAGCTTCATTTTTGAGTTTCCGGCGGTTTTAACCAGGAAGCATATGAGTATTAAAATAATTATTATATGGCGTTATATTTCGCTATATTCCCTACAATTAATTTCCAATTCGGACCCTCTATCTGCTCACACGCCGAGCAATCGTCAAAAGAGTGAGAGAATTTTTTTTTGTACTTTTTAACACTGCAAATTTTCAAATGCGAATATCTCGAAAACTATAGACCAAGTGTCATAAAAATTTTCACAGAATTTACTGACAATATTGTGCATAAACACTATGAGTTTTATCGAAATCCGAGATGATAAGACTTTTTCATCAAAAATTTTTTAGTGCATTTGATCAGCTTCATTTTTGAGTTTCGGCGGTTTTAACCAGGAAAGCATATGAGTATTAAAATAATTATATATGGCGTTATATTTCGCTATATTCCCTACAATTAATTCCAATTCGGACCCCTATCTGCCTCACACGCCGAGCAATAGTCAAAAAGAGTGAGAATTTTTTTTTGTATTTTTACACTGCAAATTTTCAAATGCGAATATCTCGAAAACTAATAGACCAAGTGTCATAAATTTTCACAGAATTTTACTAACAATATTGTGCATAAACACTATGAGTTTTATCGAAATCCGAGATGATAAGACTTTTTCATCAAAAATTTTTTAGTGCATTTGATCAGCTTCATTTTTGAGTTTCCGGCGGTTTTAACCAGGAAGCATATGAGTATTAAAATAATTATTATATGGCGTTATATTTCGCTATATTCCCTAAATTAATTTCCAATTCGGACCCTCTATCTGCCTCACACGCCGAGCAATAGCCAAAAGAGTGAGAATTTTTTTGGTACTTTTTAACACTGCAAAATTTCAAATGCGAATATCTCGAAAACTAATAGACCAAGTGTCATAAAATTTTCACAGAATTTTACTGACAATATTGTGCATAAACACTATGAGTTTTATCGAAATCCGAGATGATAAGTTTTTTCATCAAAAATTTTTTAGTGCATTTGATCAGCTTCATTTTTGAGTTTCCGGCGGTTTTAACCAGGAAAGCATATGAGTATTAAAATAATTATTATATGGCGTTATATTTCGCTATATTCCCTACAATTAATTTCCAATTCGGACCCTCTATCTGCCTCACACGCCGAGCAATAGCCAAAAGAGTGAGAATTTTTTTTTGTACTTTTAACACTGCAAAATTTCAAATGCGAATATCTCGAAAACTAATAGACCAAGTGTCATAAAATTTTCACAGAATTTTACTGACAATATTGTGCATAAACACTATGAGTTTTATCGAAATCCGAGATGATAAGATTTTTCATCAAAAATTTTTTAGTGCATTTGATCAGCTTCATTTTTGAGTTTCCGGCGGTTTTAACCAGGAAGGCATATGAGTATTAAAATAATTATTATATGGCGTTATATTTCGCTATATTCCCTACAATTAATTTCCAATTCGGACCCTCTATCTGCCTCACACGCCGAGCAATAGCCAAAAGAGTGAGAATTTTTTTTGGTACTTTTTAACACTGCAAAATTTCAAATGCGAATATCTCGAAAACTAATAGACCAAGTGTCATAAAATTTTCACAGAATTTTACTGACAATATTGTGCATAAACACTATAAGTTTTATCGAAATCCGAGATGATAAGACTTTTCATCAAAAATTTTTTAGTGCATTTGATCAGCTTCATTTTTGAGTTTCCGGCGGTTTTAACCAGGAAAGCATATGAGTATTAAAATAATATTATATGGCGTTATATTTCGCTATATTCCCTACAATTAATTTCCAATTCGGACCCTCTATCTGCCTCACACGCCGAGCAATAGCCAAAAGAGTGAGAATTTTTTTTGGTACTTTTTAACACTGCAAAATTTCAAATGCGAATATCTCGAAAACTAATAGACCAAGTGTCATAAAATTTTACAGAATTTTACTGACATATTGTGCATAAACACTATAAGTTTTATCGAAATCCGAGATGATAAGATTTTTTCATCAAAAATTTTTTAGTGCATTTGATCAGCTTCATTTTTGAGTTTCCGGCGGTTTTAACCAGGAAAGCATATGAGTATTAAAATAATTATTATATGGCGTTATATTTCGCTATATTCCCTACAATTAATTTCCAATTCGGACCCTCTATCTGCCTCACACGCCGAGCAATAGCCAAAGAGTGAGAATTTTTTTTGGTACTTTTTAACACTGCAAATTTTCAAATGCGAATATCTCGAAAACTAATAGACCAAGTGTCATAAAATTTTCACAGAATTTTACTGACAATATTGTGCATAAACACTATGAGTTTTATCGAAATCCGAGATGATAAGATTTTTTCATCAAAAATTTTTTAGTGCATTTGATCAGCTTCATTTTTGAGTTTCCGGCGGTTTTAACCAGGAAAGCATATGAGTATTAAAATAATTATTATATGGCGATATATTTCGCTATATTCCCTACAATTAATTTCCAATTCGGACCCTCTATCTGCCTCACACGCCGAGCAATAGCCAAAAGAGTGAGAATTTTTTTTTGTACTTTTTAACACTGCAAATTTCAAATGCGAATATCTCGAAAACTAATAGACCAAGTGTCATAAAATTTTCACAGAATTTTACTGACAATATTGTGCATAAACACTATGAGTTTTATCGAAATCCAAGATGATAAGATTTTTCATCAAAAATTTTTTAGTGCATTTGATCAGCTTCATTTTTGAGTTTCCGGCGGTTTTAACCAGGAAGCATATGAGTATTAAAATAATTATTATATGGCGATATATTTCGCTATATTCCCTACAATTAATTTCCAATTCGGACCCTCTATCTGCCTCACACGCCGAGCAATAGCCAAAAGAGTGAGAATTTTTTTTAGTACTTTTTAACACTGCAAAATTTCAAATGCGAATATCTCGAAAACTAATAGACCAAGTGTCATAAAATTTAAATTTAAAAAAAATGAGCCATTTGGCGGTCAAAAATGATCATTAGACATATGCACATCAAATTATCAGATATTTTATAGAGATTTTAACAATAAGTATACATTTTGTTAACATTCCTATGGGCTCCGTACCAATGCTTATGCGTTAGACAGCGACGCGGCGCTTTCGCGCTTTATATTTTGTCCCTATGCAGTTAAAGCAGTACGATTGCTTTGAAAAAAAAAGTTCAGATCTTCCACAATATGTCAAAATAAAGAAAAAATTTTTTTTTTTCAAAAAAAAAATAAATTTTTTTTTTTTATAATTTTTTTTTAAAAAAAAAGTAATTTTTTGTCCAATTTATAGTTTCTTAAAAATCGTATTTTTTCAAAGTAATTTTTTTTCAAAAATGTTAATCGTTTTTAAAAAAAAAAAAATTTTTGGTACCGGAAGTTCCTGCAATTTGCCTTAAGGCACGATGCCTTAATTGCCTTAAGACAGAATTCCACTTACAGCTAGTTTATATTTGAAATTAAATATGCCTTTCCCCAAAACAAATCATTTTTTCACAAGTAGAATGATTTGATAGTTGAGCTTCTTTTATCTAATTTCTAGCCTGAAGTATCTGTGCTTAGCTAAATTTTTCCTTTACTGCTAATTTTTTTATCATTATAAGGTTATTACTATTTGATTCTTGTTAAGCATTATTTTCTTATTTTTTTTATATTTTTAATTCCACAACAGGTGCTCACAGCCAACCTCGGAACATTATTAGATTTACACTCTGTTGAAAAAGGATTAGAACATTTTCAGTCAACTCCGTATTTAAATTTTGAGAATTTTGTTTATTATTTGGATCGAGAAGTATTCAGTGCTCTTCCAAAAGAGTTGTCTTCCACACTCTTAAAAGAATATGGAGAAAAAATAGATGAGGTAATATTATTTGAATTTAAATAGATGTTGAAAACATTTTAACATATTAAATTTTATTTTAGGTGTGCTGGTTAGTTTGTCATCGCAAATATGTCGATCGGCAGAGGAAGGTTATACCCGAGGACAGCATTTATAAATTATTTAGAATATTTTGTTTATTAGCTGAATTAATTACGGAGGAGAAAAATGAAAACAAATTTGAGGTAATATATATATAATAATCATTCTTACATAAAATATACTAAATACTAAATAATCCGTTCAAAATAATAATGGCTAACTCATGTAAATTTGGAATTTCACTTAATCCACACAAATTTCTTTATACATTAAATTTATTATTAATAAAATATAGAGTTGTGCACTGAGGATTTTTTCAAATATATATTTACTACACAAGTTTACGTTTTGGTCATAAAATTCGCCATATAAACATAACATAAGAAACAATACAAATATACCTCGTTTATTTATTATTATTAAATAAATAAAAGAAATTTTTAAAATCTTTAAAATAATTTATTATTTTTGTAATTTACTGAGTTTTAATTACAAACAGTAGGTACTTATTAAATTTTTCAAGACTTGAAATGTAAATTTTTCAATGATGCATATAGTAGGTATCATTTTCCTCAAAAATTATTTTAAAAATAGATGTAATATGATTAGACATTCATTTGATTCCTAGATAATACGTCAATACGTTATTAATATAATAATTTTATTTGTAAAAATCCTGGTAGTAATTATTTTTATTTTTTAACGTAGTGGATAATAATTTATACCTAAGAAAATTATTTCTAATCAATATTAGTATTATTTAGGTACTCATTTGAACTATGAAATTAATTAGTTTCACTAGTTTGTATATTTATGTATTAAAGTACATATTTTCATGGGTATTCACAAATTTTAGTCTTGTCAAAGTGATTGTAATAATATTCTTTTTTATTAGTGGATATTGTATTTTATTAAGATATTATTTTGTCTTGTTGCTATAAAATAGATCATACATTTTATATGAATATTATTAACTCTATATAATTATGACAATATAAAAAAATGTACAAGATTTTTCACGCAATATTTACTAAACAAAATATTGTTTTGAATCGTTGAAAAAAGTACATAATGACAGAAAACAAATGATATTTGTGAAACAAAAGCATCTTTTGAAAAATTAACTAAAATTATACAATAACAATATTGAGTTATATATATTTTTTTATTATGAACACATTTCTTGTTAATTGTTTGTTATTTTTGTGTTTTTTTAAATTATTGTTCGAAATTTCATATTGTACTTATATATCATATTTGATCATTTCGACAGGCTTTACTGCATATTTCGGAGGCGAAGCAAATTTGTGAGCGCCTCGTACAAACTTTGGGATTGCAATGGGATGAATCAAATTGGATCGAAATCATGTCCCCGATTTTGGTTCTCCCGTTTTCTATGTTTTTGGCAATTATCGAAAAGAAATATTGCGGAGAGGGTACTGTTGACGAAATTGCCTTATCAGAAGCTATTGACGAATTGTACCAAACATACGTAGAAGACGTTGTAAAAAAGGTAACTGATTTGTATGTCATAATAATATTCTCTTCACCTTCGAGTAAAAAGACTCATATTAATGAGGTGCTAGATGTAAAATTCAATTCAATCCAATGTAAAATTTTATATTTAATTTTTTTTCGACAAGTACAAATTAAAAATCGACTTCAAAATATATAGGTTTTATTATTTTACAGGGATATTTATATAAAAAGGGAAACTTACTGCCATCAATGAAAGAATATTGGTTTCTCCTCCAACCCAATGTATTAACATATTACAAGGATTCAAATGGCAAAGAAGTTTGTGGATCAATGCCATTGGATCCATCAAGTTTCGTAACTCCAATAAATGAAAAAGATTGTCAAAAAATGCAAAATATGCAAAGAATGAATCTTGTAACAGGAGACAAAGTGGTTGAATTGGCGGCGGAAGATCACAAGTAGGTTGACATCATTCAATTAATTCTAAATATAATGACATCCAATAATAAGTTGATATTGTTTACTGCGTTTCAAATCTATGTAAATAATTTCAAAAACATGACAAATTCAATACTCAGGTTTTTTCAAACTTAAGTAATTATGATAGATACATGTAATTCAAAATGCTAATTTCATTCAACACATTAAATTAATACTAAATTCTTCAATTGAATGCTAAAGAATATGAAAGATCGAATTCAAAGTCGTTTTATTTCAAAATTTATTCATTTACTCTACGTGATGTACTTGATATATCTTTAAATTTTAATATGCAATAGAAATATTTCTAACTAACATATTGTACATATATCCAATTGTTAGTCATTAAAACATTTATTCATTTGTAATAATATTTTACATAATTACGTAATTCATTAATTTTAGAACGCGTTTGCAATGGATAACAGCAATTCAACTGGCAATAATGTATTCGAATGGAATTATCGGCTACCAAAGATCAATGGCAATGGAAAGGCGAAAACAGAGGGAACAACAATCAAATCAGGAGTTAACAAAACGATCAGAAGAAGCCAAAAGAATTGCAAATCATGTTCAAGAAGTCGAAGAAACTCGGGCGCAGTTGTTGCGAGAGAAATTGGTATGGTAAAGACATCATTTTTATATAATAAAAAACAATCGAAAGCAAGCTATTCAATTTTTTTATTTAAAAAGATATAAATGATAATATTAAAAATATTTTTGTTATTTGACTCCCAACTTTGACTTCAAATTCATTGAAACCTATATCGCACACTGAACTCAATCAATTTTTTCTTGTGTTATTTAACAGCTTATTATTAGTCTCAAAATGAAAAACATCATTACATTTTAAACTTATATAATTTTATTTAGTTTTTAGAGTCTGTAGAACAAACGCAAAGTAATTTAAAAAATACACTATTTAAAAACTATAACTTTAACATGTAAGCTCATTGTACGAATTATATAGTATTACATTTTTCCTATTTAGGCCCGAGAGGCTGCAGAGTCCCAAGCACAAAAATTGCAAGCAATCGCAGAGGAAGAATCGCAAAAAGTCCGGGAAATGCAAGACGCCCGCATGAATTTAGAACGAATGCTCGAAGAAGAAACTCAGGCCAAACGTGATGAAGAAATCGTACGAGCGCTCCAAGCCAGGTGAATATTTATAACTTTGAGCTTTTTTCTATGTTGCGCAGGGCTTTCGACGACACTTTTATATTTCTATTTTGAATTTGCATTTTTGTAACTGGCGTTACTGTTTTGCTCCTTTGGATCAAGGTACCACTTTTATTTTGAAACCATCACAAAAATTTCAAATAAATTTGTTAAATCATTTTTAACCGACTTCTGAAAGCAATAATCTGACTTCTGAAAATATTAATCAGTTAATGCTAGTGATATTACGTCACTAACATTTTATTCATAAGATACTATATTCTTTCTAGTTAACTTTCTAGTTAAGTTAGAGTAATCGCAAAAAATCGAAAATGAAATTGTTTTTATATCTTTACGTTTCAGAGGTTTCTGAATATTTTGGCATGCCTTAGAAAAAATGGATGTATGTGTGTGTATATGTGTGTGTGTGCGTGTGTGTATGTGTGTTTGGATTCAAATTTTCGTCGACGATTTCGGGAACACGGATGAAGCGATTTGAATAGTTCAAACAACATTAGATTTGTATTGATAAGGAAACGTGCTGATTAGTTTTTCGCGAAGGCAGGTCTAGCGGTTTCGGAGATCTCGTAAAAAAAGTAAAAAAAAATTCCATTTGGCGGTCAAAAATGATCATTAGACATATGCACATCAAATTATCAGAAATTTTATAGAGATATTAACAATAAGTATAAATTTTGTTTACATTCCTATGGGTTCCGTACCAATGCTTATCCGTTAGACGGCGGCACGGCGCTTACGCGCCTCGTTATTTTATCTCTGAGCAGTTGAAGCAGTACGATTGCTTTGAAAAAAAGTTCATAATTTCCAAAATATTTCAAAATACACTTTTCTTCAAAAAGTCTTTTTTTCAAAAAAAGTAAATTATAGTCAAAAATTTATAGTTTCTCAAAAATCTAATTTTTCAGAGTAAATTTTTTTCAAAAATGCTAATCTTTTAAAAAAATCAAAATTTTTGGTACGGGAAGTTCCAGCAATTTGCTTTAAGGCACGATGCCATGCGCCTCACTAGTTTAATTTAATGTTGTCTCTAATTTTTTCTAGCAAAATCAATAGTTATCATTACTGTTGTGGTTTGATTGGTTTGAGGTCAATATTATTTCAGAAAAATAATCTTTAAATATTTCTTACTATTCCCCATTGCTGTGGGGATAGTATATTATGTATTATAGGTATATAATTATTTTTCGAATTATAAAGGGAACTTGCTGCTGAATGGAAAAGGCGTGAAGAATTGGAACGATTACAAGAAGAGCAAAGATGTCTTTTAGAAGAAGAGCGTAGAAAAAGGCAAGAATTTGAACAAATACAACACGAAAAGGAAGGTCAACTGATAGGTAAATATTTTAACTAAAAGAGCTACTTAAAAATTGGAATTATATTTATTAAAACAATATTATATGTTTTTAGAAGCTAAAAAACGTTTAAAAGAATTAGAACAGCAACGAGAGAAATTGGATGCTGAGTTAAAAACCGCTCGAGAAAAAATGTTGGCATCAGAAGAAAGTAAAAACAATTTAGCACCTCAGCTTCGGGTAAGTTTAAATCAAGTAACCCAAACTGAATTTTATAAATTCAATCCATTTATAACATTTAATTTTTAAGGAACTTACAATATCTAGAGAAAAAAATAAACACATGCGCGGCAGACGTGCAATTTCTATGGTGTCGACTAATAATACTCTGGATTTTGAAAAGGATACATTTAGAGATGAGAAATCAAATAATGTTACTACTAGTTGATAATAATATGAAAGTATTCTTAACATTGATAATAATGTATATTGTGCCAGTGCCAATGCTGTGAAATTTTTATTAGAAGAAATATATATGATATTGTTAATGTAAGTATATCAAAGAAAAAATAAACTCACTATTTTGATAGCATCTACTGCTTTTTCTTAAGATTTAAATTAAATATAGGTATATATGTGTATATTATTGAATGTTTTTCAGCCAAATAATCAAAATCGTTCGTTATTTGTTGAAAAAACGATTGATTTTTAACTATTTATTTTGTAGAGTTTTAAAAAATATATATATTTAAATATTTTACGAAAAATTACACCTTCATATATACATTTTTACAATATCTCGCAACTTTTTATAAGATGCTGATATATTATATATTGTAAAATTATTTAGAACTGATTGACACACATACAATTAAGTAATTACAAGTATTTTATTTTCGAGAATTTGTCAAAAAAACATGCAAAAATATGTTTTAACGTCAAACAAAAAAAATCTAAAATCTAAAAACCAATAGTATTATGAGTGGAAATAATTTGAAAATAGGAACGCACTCCACTCTTCTGTACTATTATTAAATAATATGCCACGATAATAGTTTATAGAAGAATGGAAATAGTTCAATGTTTATACTTCACTTTCTTCTATTCAAAACTTATATTTCACTGGATAATTTTATGGGCGGTACATAAATTTGTTTGTTTGTTACTCTAAAAGATTGTACTCTCACAATGTTTATACTTGTTATAGTAAAAATATCATACCGGTATATAAATGAACTAAAAGTTTGTAAGGATAACCGTTTTGCTGTTCCTTATATTACCATATTCAATCAGCAAGTATATTGTAATTTTTGTAACAATTTTTCCGTATTTAACAGAAATATTATTTAAAAAAGGGTGTTAAGTTCGGTTTGTGTGGGTCAAAAAAAGTCGCTTAAAAACATACGATTTTCTGGTACTATGAATCAAAATAAGATAGTTGCTGAAGAAACCGCTAAAATGAATTTTGATGTCCCGTGCATTGACCAAAAAATAAGAATTACAATTTTAAAAATTCTAATTTGACCCATTTAGAGTGCCTCAATCGGGTCCAAATGTATGACCGACCCTCACTAACTTTGGAAGGCCGATCCACCGATGCCCATGCTGTACCCCCTGGGACCCCCCTTGAGTGGTTTTTCAAAATTTAACCCTTATCTTTGGGTCATTGCACGGGACATTTAGAAATATGGTTTCTTCAGCAAATTATCTTATTTTGATTCCCAGAATGTGCCTAAGTGATCTTTAAATCGAACTGCTCTAATATATATATATATATATATATATATATATATATTATATATATATATATATATATATTGATTGTTCCTTTTCCGAACAGTAAATCCAATAATAAAAAACAATTTGTTTTTTGAAGATGTTTAATAACGACGTTTCGGAACTAGGTACATTCCATCATCAGGTTTATTCTGTCAAATACAATGTTTTTTAAAAATATTGATTAACATTAATTAATGATGGTCATTACAGATTAATTAGAAAAAAATATAAAGGAATGGATTATGTACTGTGTAAAGAGTAATAAAAATTAACTACAAAAGGTTTTATATAAAATTGAGAAGCAAAAATTATTTACCTGTAATAATTTATATATCCATATCACTAATATTTTTTGTTAAAAACACTCGATTTTTTTGAGGATATTTGTAGATGTTATGACTTCACAAGACTAAAACACACTGATATGGAGTTCTGTCGGTCAGATGTAAGGGATATGTATGGAATTTAGGCAAGAATAATTTTTTATGGCTCTTGTATTGGTAATTTACGAAAAAAGAGGAAATAGTGCTTTAGTAAATGTTGAGAAATATTATGTATATATACATGCACACGTATATGCACACCTACATGCACAATTATATACACGAACATGTACGCAAGTACATGTATATAGTGTAAATACAAAAACATACATATAAGCACATATATGGATGTGCATATATTACAACATATATACATGCGTATATACACACAAAATTATTAAAGGATTAATTGTTTTTAATTAGGTTTAAAAAATTTAGATACGAGTCATGAATGATATTATGATCTGATCTTTTATTAACACAATTTGACAAATTCAAAAAGATTAAACTGCTTTCAAAAAAAAGTTTTTTAAAAGTACAATCCTCTCTATATAAAATATTGGGTTCAAAGGTAAAAATATGTGAATTTTCAATGGAATGTTGGACAAGAGTGCTTTGGAAACTTCGGCTTTTATGATGAGTGACGCTTAATTCATGTTGTCTCATTCTCTTATGAATGTATTGTGATGTTTGGCCAATGTATTGTTTTTGATAATTTTTGCAAGAGACAAATTGGTAACAAATTGTTTTTATTATTGAATTTACTGTTCGGAAAAGAAACAATCAATATATTGAAAAAATCCAGGACTTATGTATATATATATATATATATATATATATATATATATATATACATATATTACGTATATATGTCTGTGTGTGAATATATAAAGTGTGTAAACTTGTGTTTAAATCGCAATATCGTAATTGCTGACTAAACATCCCATATTCGTATGCATTTGCGTATCCCATGTGTTTATAATATACGAGTCCTCTTACAAATGAAACAACCGTCATGGAATTTGGAGACATATCCAGAATCCAGTCTACGGATAGAGAACATGTAAGTATCCTCCGCGGAATTAAGCTATGTCGGTTAATAGAATCAAGATGACATGTGTGCCGAGTGCGATTTCGTGTACGACTAGCAAGTAGTAACACATGCACGTAATCTGCTCGATTGTACACGGAAAATAATAATAATAGAACCAGTGGTGCATGGCATCGTATCTTAAGGCAAATTGTTAGAACTTCCTGTACCAACAATCAATTTTTTTTAAATTCACTTTTTTTTAGAACTTTGAAAAAAATTTTTTCATCGACTATTTCAACAGCAATCGATTCCAATTGATAGCTAGATCTGCTTATTGGTTTTTGGCAAAGGCAAGTCCAGCGGCTTCGGAGATATGAAGCAAAGAGCGCTAAAAGTGCCAGTTTTTTAAAGGACGGATTAACCGATTTGAATAATCCAAAAAACATTCGATTTGTAATGATGGGGAAAAGTGGTGATTAAATTTTGGCACAGGCAGGTTCAGCCGTTTTGGTGATACAGAGTTAAATGTCCAAAAATGCCAGTTTTTGAAAGAACTAAGCATCTGATTTGAATGATTTAAAAAGCTTTCTGTTTGTGTTGACAAAATGATTGCTTTTGGGTAAACAAATTTTGTTTAAATTTAATTTTTTTTAATTTAAAAAAAAAAACTATTTTTTTTTGGATATCGAAAACCAATTCGGATTTTAATTCTAATTTAGTTAAAGTTCTACACATCACTTATAATACTACATATAATTATAACAATCTATTTGAAAAATTTAGGAATTTATGGAAAGTTCCAGCAATTTGCCGTATGGCACGATGCCATACACCACTAGTATATTTTTGTTTAACTTAGTTAAAGAATGAGCAGAGATGTTTTCCAAAATAATATAATAAATATTAAAGAAAACACATTTCTGGGTTAAGCAACACGCCATTCTTTGAATCTGATTTACAAATAATAAATTTCTTTTAAACTATATTATTATATTCTGCTGAATAAGCCTTACAGTCTTGATAATATTTATAATCCAATATATCCAATTATTTGGTTTCAAAAAACCATTTTAATAAAAATTAATAGTAATCATTTATTGACTTGTCAGGAAAGCAACTACTATGTCAATTACTTAACCATGAGAAATGATCATAATACATTATAATAATATCAATATCAAAATGAAATATTATTATTTTATCATTTCTTGTCATAATAATTAAGCATTCGTGACGTTTTCTTTATAATATTATCAGAAATGTTCAGACTGCAATTCAACTGTAAAACTAATGTAATTTCCATGTACTATTTAAATTTATTCACTATTTTTGCGATAAGGTGCATAATATATTTCGCATTAAGTACATGTAGCATAACTTACTCAAACAAATATTCGTTGGATTTTCGAACAAAGAGGCGCTCGGGTACATGCAGCGCCATCTTCGCACGCTCCGTAGTCGCACATCTACAAGTTCTTTTTGCATATCTATGGTTTATGCCAGTCTGTGGAATGTCATTGCATAAAATCATTTTCTCATCGGAGTTGGTCAAAAAAACATCGTGGAATCCAGAGGGCCTCTTGCCATTTGCTGTCTGGAATATAATTTGGTATGTTGTACTAGTGCTAAGTACATTTCGCTTTGCGGATTCACTAGGATTTTATTTCGTGTTCGACAGTGTTGCGTCATACTTTGTTCAAGTCTTATTAGTGTCATAGACACCGGATATATTTTATTTCATAATGTCTACTGTTAAATAAAACTGTTTAGTTGGCCTTGTGCAATATATTCGAAAAGTGATTGTGATTTGTGAATATTTTGGACTCGGTCCTGAGACTTTCGGGAATAATATAATTTATTTTATATTCACTATTGTTTATACAAATATAAAATACTATTTTTCAAAGTTTTTGCTCTAATTGGAAGACACAAAGTGAAAGTAAATCTGAACTACTATTTCATGTTTACTTTTATCATCGAGACTTTCGTGAGTATCTGTACAAATTGTTAAATTCTAAGTGTTATTTAAATCATTACTATCTTCTAACTCACTTCAATTTACAGATCTGACAAATTATGTACATTGGACCACAATCATTACGTCAAGAATTTTAAAGCAAAACTAGTTTATTATAGAACTGCTTTGTGTTCAATGTACTATTTTATCCACTTAAAATAGTCATTACAATTTGATTGAAAACTGCATTGCACACGAAGACAGCTTTGGTGACGTTTAATGATGTTCATCACAATTCAATACTAATTTCTGTATTTTACAGGTGCAGGTACGTTTGAATTTGTGGCATTTTGTGC